GCATGCCTTAGACCGCTTGGCTACCGTGACCGGCCCAGTATGTGTTTAGAGGCGTATAAATTCAACCAGAATAAGAGAATGAGTAACTCTTCAGGAAGTTGGTGAAATTCGATTTGAGCCTCATGCAGTAAAAATTGGGGGTTATATTGGGCCCGGTGTGCTCTTTCTTTCGTTTCAAGCACAACACGAGGCAGGCCAACCAGGGCTGTATAAAGTTTCCACAATTATTGATTCGCAATTTATCACAGTTGTTCGTAAGCGTGCTCACGGACGCTATAAATACATTTCATTGAGGACATAGTCACCCTTTCCAGTACTGGGACTTTTGGAGACATATTACAGACGTTACAAATAAACAAAACTATAGTTTTGCCTGTGGTTTTCTATGAGTGTGAAACTTGGTCTCTGACATTAAGGAAGGAACAGAGACTGAGGGTGTTTGAGAACAGGGTGTTGAGGAGGATATTGAACCGAAGAGGGATGAACTGACAAGAAGTTGGAGAAAACTGCATAATGAGGAGCTTCATAACTTGTACTCTTCTCCAAGTATAATTAGAATGATCAGGTCAAGGAGGAGGAGATGGACAGGACGTGTAGCACGCGTGGGGGAGACGAGGAATGCATATAGGATATTTGGTTGGAAAGCCAGAAGGAAAGAGACCATAGGAAGTCCTAGACGTAGGCGGGTGGATGATATTAAGATGGATCTTAGAGAGATAGGCTGGAATGGTATGGACTGGATTGATCTGGCTCAGGATAGAGACCAGTGGAGGTCTTGTGTGAACACGGTAATGAACCTTCGAACTGGATAAAATGTTGGGAAATTCTTGAGTGGCTGCACACTAGTCGACTACTTAAGAAGGGCTCAGTTCCATGGAGTTAGTTATTATGGATGTTGAAAAAATGGAAACAATCCCTCCATAGTTTCGGAGGTCTTCTCGAATTTATTTTTCCTTTTGATTGCTATTTTAAGAGATTTTGAATCCCATCGCAGCATTCCGTATCAGTCAGACTCTGCTGCGTCTGTGTGTAGCGCTCTCATAGTGCGTCCCGCAGCCGTCCCCGGAAGCTGATGTGCGTACCTCAGTCTTCAAGGTGTGACTGTCCGAAACGTCGGTACCGACTCAGTAGAATGTCACGTGGAGCGTTTCAGAATGGTGGCTAAGCCGTGCGTTCAGACCCGTTTGTTTCAGCCCCTAGATGGCCAACCGCGAAATTCAAGACTCCTCCCTCGTAGTTTCGTTTTATTGCGCATTTACGGGAAAGTTTCGGTGGTCCCCTCTGCAGTACAGTCCTCAGGGGTGGGGGGCACTGTGCTAAGTCGGAAGGTCGTGGGTTCGATTCCTGATGAGGTCACTGGATCTTTTAAATTTACCCGGCCTCACTATTGCCCTGGGGTCGACCCAGCCTCTAACAGGAATGAGTACCAGCGTAAGGCTGATAGCCTCATCGCCATCTGTGAGCCGATTGTGAGCAGCCCTATGGGCCTCCACTGGCTGTTAAAGGGATAGCTTCACGTTTCATTCCTGAGGAACTTCGGCGAACTACCAGACTCTACGGCGCTATATCCGAGAAGCTAGTAGTGTTACTTTACGATTTGGTTCGGTCACGTGTCGGTCCTGGTACGTTCGGAGAGACTGCGCATTCCGTTCAAGACGCATCCTGAAGTTAAGGGAGCATGTGACTCATTTATGTGTGTCGGAGGGCGCGGGACAGACAAGGGGTGTGTGCAGGGAGGGGCACTGGACCGGGAACCCCCCCATGAGAGCGCAGTGTTCTCGTGCCAAGGATGTATCAGTATCAGAGCCACTGCGCTGCGCCAGAATGCTGACCTCCACAAAGGAAGTGTCCACATTATTAATTTCTGATTGTACTTGCGCCTCGTGGACTGTGTCACATCTGATACACAGCGACTGTACACCACAGATACCTATAAGCCACTCATGCATTTGTCAGCAGGCGATGTGTATCCAATTGTTGGCATGGAGCCACTCGGCCCATTCTCAAAACCCCGCAATCCTACGACCCGGTCACCCCCTCCCCTTCGTTTCCAAAAACCGGAGATCGCAAAAACTTGTTTGCGCCTTCAGAAGAGAACTGGGCTTGCACCTCAAGAGTAGTCAGTCTGCAGGAGAGGGCGTTCAAGACGTTCCCAATCGTGAACAAAACGCGGGACCAGTATCTTTATGCAACAATGTTACGCCGTATAGTTTGCTATATGTTTATCGACGTTTCGGATGAACCTATTCCTAATCGTTGATAAATAGGAGTATATACCAGGCTGCACGGCGACACGCGCCTCATCCTAGAAGACACAGTCAAGGTGTGAAAACCTCAAGAGTTTGCGCTGTTTCAGAAAGCTTCGAACATCAACCATATTTCATGATTGGGTCATTTTAGGGCCCTTTAAATGTCGCAGACCCTGCAGCATCAAATGGTAAAATTGTATGTAGCTGAATTAGGAATCGGTAAGGAAGCGGCCGTGGCCTAATTTTGGTACCACCCCGGAATTTTCCTGAGGAGACTGAGGTCTCTGTCAAGACATCCGGTGTACCGGCCAGGATTCGAACCGAACACAAGTCTGAAGCGAACCTTTCCGGTTCGACCATGTCACTTCTGACTACCATACAGGGCAGGGCATGGCACGCCAAGGAGAACGGTTGAGGCCAGATCACACCTGCTGTCGTTCGAAGCACGAACTGAGTTCATGAAGCCACAGACAGTAACCACGTGACACAAACGCCGCTTAGGCTTATGGGACCTGAAGGTTCATTACCATGTTCACAAGAATCAGATCCACATTCGTCACATATAAAGCACGCAGGTTTACAGTAAGAACTCGCCAATTCGCGTGCAGCTAAACCAGATGTCGGATAATCCGTATCGAGTTATGTTGTTCACAGTTGAATACAACACATGGCATTTGGGAAGGCAGATGATTCGGACAAAACTTGACGGTTGCTTCAAACTTTCATTGCGTATTACGTTCAAAAACAAGCACAACTTCTGAGTCTTTTGTACTTAATTAATTAAGCACTACTCAATGAAGGCGTATGGGGGAGTGGATGTATAGAACCACGTTTTCTTGACCTCGGCACTAGGTAAGTGGTCAGCTTTACACCCCGGCCGCTCTACCCCCAGAGGAAGAGCCCACGATACCTATCGGATAGGAGGCTGGGTGGGTCCCAGAGGCGGTCTGGACAACATGGAGAAGTAACAATGCTTGCCCTCTCCGGTAGTCGAATTCCGACCCCTCGGCCGTCTAGCCCGTAGCCAGTCGCTATATCGACTGCGCCATGCCGGCCGATCTTCTGAGCATTCTATTGATTAATACATGTATTGTCTTTTTATGATTTGTAAATGAAGTCTGTACAGTGATGTTTTGTTATTTATTTTCATGAGCACTGCTTATGCCATTAAATTCCCCATTTGTTTGTGTTCTGCGTTCCCCTGTCTTTCAGGGCTACCTTTGCTTCACTAATCCGGACTGTCGAGAGTTTACTGTAGTTTGAGGATACTATTGAGCGCCTTAGCTGAACTGCACCATCAGTCCTACAGTCGCAGTGACCCGGTGCCATGAGGCGACCGCAAGCACTATGCAACCGGTTATGGTCGCCCAGCCACCGCACCGGAGATGCAGAGAAACAGGGGCAGGAACGGATGATAACATTGATTAAAACATTTTCAAAGCCTTCCATGTTGAATAAATCACGAAACAAATGACGGTCACTCAGTGTGTTGGCCTGCACGTGTCACTTTAAGTATAACTAAAATGTTAAAGTTGACCGAAGTTCTCGCAATTTTAAAACGAGCATCGTTAAAATGCCTGTCGTCATAAAAGCGCTTGCATAGTACAGAGAGGAAATGCAGCTTGGGCCCCGTCGGCTGTTGCGTGCAGCATGTCGTAAAGGCAGCAGTAAACTGCGCTGCAAGTAATTGTCCCCCATATCGTAAAAGTGCCATGGCTTGCTCGGACAGCGGAAGGCATGAAGTTGGTGATTTTAACAGATTCTGCACGGAAGGAACATGAACAACTGACCCCGGCATGTCTGTCTGTCTGTGGTATCTCAAACAACATCGTTGACATTAAAAACTGCTGAGGAGGACCTGGCACAGGCATGTGCTGTGTTCACACCGTTTTCCTAACATTTTCTACCCATCTTGGTCTTTCAATATCTTCAGGCGGCATGACACAAAAATGTGCGGACGTACAACGGTCTGAGGGTTCCCGCTTTACGAATTTTCAGACTTGGGGCTCGAAACCCGAACTTTGGGTCACCGCCATGTTGTAACGTGGTTCGAATCCAAATATTAACTGGCTTCTCATACTTGTAATTTTTCATTTTGCGACGCTGGAAGGAAGCGATCGCTAATACCCCAGCATTCGCCTGAAGGTACTGAGGAAAACCACGAAATATCAGTATAGCCGGTGCCCCAACTGAGTTCCAACCGAGCAGGTCTCGAATACGTGTGTAGAGTGTTACCGCCACTCTAACCCGTTCGGCTTCCGTAAATCGATATGGAGTTTCCAGAGTCGCGTTTCACATCATCACATCTATTTGGCTAGGAGTTGCCCGCTGTGTGTGGTAGCCATACTCTTGCTCAGCTGTAGCCAGTTGCATCACTGCCGGAACATGAATCACCCTCGATGTGCTGTTTCGTCAATGTTTCGCCTGTCTCTCACCGCCGCTTGTGCTCCTGCGTTTACTATGCGGTGGCCTGGTGATATCTGTTAGAGAAAAACGTTGAACATAATCTTATAGACTGAAGTCACAATAGCTCTAATCACTAAATGGGCCTACAACTTAATCGTTCCGAAGGAATCGTCACTTCCAGAACCTTTGCTTTATGTTGAGGGTTACCATTTGTCGGCCATCTGCGTTTGCTACATGCACGACCTGTGAGTGATTTAGTAATGGGAGCAGTTTACGATTATGCAACTTCTGAGACGTCGATAGTAAATTTAAACTGTGTATAACCAAACATTCCGTTGTCCATAGGTCACACACTGAACGGGCAGCCACTCCTGGAGTTTGCGCATGCGCAGGATCTGGGTGGCGGCGCCGGAACCGAACTGCGGGTGAAAGCTGCGACACTGTGGGTCAGAGTGGACTTCCGGTCGCCTCTGCACCGCGCGTTTAGACACAATGTGCCGGATAAGAACCTCACCCTGTGGATCTTCACCGTCACACAGCAACTGCAGACGAATACCACACACTTAAGTGGTAAGGTATGTTGTTGCAGTGTCGGGATCTTTTACACTTCTACTGAAACAGTTGTCTGCTGGAGATGGCAGCTCACACATCCGTCCCTCTCTTCAGAACGGTCTTCCAGGACACGCAGTTTGTGGGTCTGTTGGCGGAGAGCCATGCTAGTCTTTCGATCGTCAGTTTTTTTGTCGAATAGAGTCATTTAACAACAGACCCATATTCTCACATTCCAAAATGATGCATTTCGTTTGTGCTTCGGTTTAGTTTTCTGTATGTCGGGATGCTTTCAGCGGGCTCACGAACTTTCCGTTAAGAGATCAGCTCGTCGCGACGGCGTCATACTGAGGTGCTCAGTTCTTAGTACGCTTACCCTCCAGCCTCGAGTGAGTATTGAGAATGTATCTAGCTGCAGCTGTTTTACCGACAAGACCATCGTCATGTAACAGGATGAACGGAATGAATGCATGAACTCGATTATTTGCATGAATGTAAACATGATGAAAAGGCCTCAAACTTTATACCTGAGACAGTTTACTGAAGATGGTCCATTTTTATGCAGTTTTTTCGGGTTGTACTTGTAAGAGCTGGCAGTTACAGACTCTCCACTGGTTGCGTGCAAATATTTTACGATTCTTTTCCCACAGAATCCTTATGCTCGTGTGAGCATTTTGTTTTGTTCGTGTAACGAATTCTTGATGAGTTTTGCAGCTCTACAGTGTATTGTGCACCTATGCAAGTAGCCATGGTTTGCTCACATTGCCGTGCCTCTAACAAAATGCGTGCGGCAGAGAAGCTGACAGTAGTTTTATGGAGCATCAGGGTTGACTTTCATGATCGCAAGAGACCGCCACTGGACCCAAGACTGAGCCAGATGAATCCAGTCCGTCCCTTCTTAGTTTCTTAACATCTGTCATAACGCCATCCTTTTCCTTTCTGCGACCGGGTCTCCCTTGTTTTCTAGCCAACGGTTTGTGTCTATGCTCTGCGTGCTACGTGCCCATTTATTTGAGACTATGAGTCGGTATCCAGCAAGTTTACAAATTGTGGCACTGGGTCAGTGTGGTGCAGGTCAGTTACAGTGTCCCCTGATCGTGCTGTATCTCTGCAATATATACACAGTCTGAACTGTATAAACATATGAGGCAAGTACATATATGTGATTTTGTGAGGCTAACAGACACTGCCAGTTTTATTGGTCTTCTTTTGTTCTGAAACATCTCAACATCTTTATGAGTCACGATTTCCACTATACAAACTTGATATTAGAGATATTGCAACACATAAAAACCCGCATAATTACTTCTGTAAAAGAGAATACGGGGTTCGTTTTATTCTGAATGACTAACCCGTCAGTAGCTAATACGAAGTTTCCCTCAAGCTCCAGTTTTTAGATTACAGTTTCCTTTATTAACTGTTTGTAAGCCAATGTGCAGTATTTTGCTGTTGCTGTGTGGCCAGTGTTTGTTCAGCACCAAATTAAAATGTTATTTTGTACATTCGCCACTGATACATATTTTTTATACTGCTGAAATGTAACAGATATTCAGGTTGGAAAGGTTGTGTTTAGCAAAGAGAACTTTTCTCATTGGACATATATCAGTGTAGCTGTCGTTCCTCATATATTCAGCGAAAACAGACGTTAATAAATGTCAGAGCGAATTATATTTACTGGGAAGCCATTAAAATTTCTGTCTTTTTTTTTTTTTCATTTGTAAGGCATTCATACGCTTACCATGCTGTAAAACTCTCTGGTCAAATTTGTTTTATCATAACCCAGAATCATTGCTAAGAGAAACTGGTTAGTGGAAACCCTCGGTTAAGCAGTGAGTGACTGGAGCACAATACAGCTACATTTCTTATGTTGTGTCCGCAGGAATTTGATGAGTATACAGAGATGGCTGCTTCCCTGCCGGTGTCACTGTCCATGCTGGGCTGGCAAAAATTTGACCTGACAGCCACCGTCCGTAACTGGTACTCGTCTGGCACAGCTGCAAGAGAGCGCCTGCGATTGTTGGTGGACTGCTCAGGGTGCGGTGACCTCGTCGAAGCTGTCCTGTTCCGCACAGAAAAGAAGGACCCACAGCGACCGTTCCTTGTTGTACACACTGACCCGACGATCATCAGGAGAGTGCGTCGCCGAGCACTAGACTGCTCTGGGGCACTGAAAGGGCAGTGCTGTAAGCAGAGGTTCTTTGTCAGCTTCAAGCAGCTTGGTTGGGAAGACTGGATCATAGCTCCTAGTGGTTACTACGCCAACTACTGCCAAGGAAACTGCGGGGGTGCCCACCGAACGCCTGACACCTTTCTTAACTACTACACCCATGTCATGGAGGAGTACCGCAAGTTGGACCACCCAACAGGCATGCAGCCATGCTGTGCGCCTGTCAAATTCTCCTCTATGTCCCTCATATACTTTGGACCAGATAGCAACATTATTAAAAGAGACCTGCCTAAAATGGTAGTCGATGAATGTGGATGCCCTTAGAATGCGATGTAGAATATTCACTTGGTTGTCCCTTCTTTTGGTAATGTTGAATTTTCGGGTAACAAATTAGCGTGAGTTCTGAAGTGCGATTATCATGCTGTGCTTGAGATATCAATGCCATCTTGCAATTATAACAAATATTATTTTAAAATGTATGCGTTGCTCAATTTTTCCTATAACAATATGTTGTAAAATCTTTTATTATTGATTTTTGTAAGAAAATATTTTCGTGCCCAAAGAACTTCTTGTGTTTTAAACATAAAAATGGAAAGAAGAATTCTGTCATCACCATCTCCAACCTTAACTTGAGATTGAATGACAGCTACAATTTGGAGCGCTACTTATTCCTAGTCAAATTCCATGTTGTAGAGAACGTGATTTCATATATTTTCATGCAATTATGTTTTGTGGTATGTACATACTCGTATACTGCTGATTCATTGCAACGTTACATCAGAAAATTTGAGAGAGTTCAGTTCATTTCCAGCAGAATGATCTAGATGAAGGCCTGCTGTCTGGGTAATTTAGGTGAGAAAGAACACAAGTGCCCACAATTACCGTATGGGAAGACTGTTCCCTGGTAACTAACATCTACACCCAACTGGAATACAAATGTTTGTCTGTGTGGACTGTGATCCGTCTTTTAATGATAACAAAGGATATGTTTCCTCTGTCACTGCCTCCGAATAAATTTGATGGATTGTGTGAAGTATGACATTTCAGGAGAAAACGTCCCATATAAATAAACAAATAAATAAATAAATAAATAAATAATACAAGAAAAGAAAAAGAGGCTGAAATTGTTATATAGGTTAAAAACACGGAAATTTAAAACATGAAAATTGTGATGAACTCCTGACAAGTTCATTCATAGTAAAACATAGCAAATTAATCTACATAATTTATATATGTTTTAAAGGGCTGGCCAAGATGGATCTATTTGAAATAGTTTCTTCTCCACTATATTTCAATATTTATTCAGAGAAACAGATGCAGTTGTGTCTCAATATTATTAACAGTTCAATAATGAGGCATGAAGTGAAGAAGTGCCGATGTGAAGTTCCAGTGATATTTAGTATTTAAGTTTATGCAAATAAAATGGGAGCATTCTGTGACTAAAGAGTGTCTTCATTGAGACGAACTTGACAATAAGAATTGACTAATGTAAATGTATATAGGGTTTCAAATACATTGACTGTGCTTCAATTGTTTGAAAGACAATTATCCAGCTGTGGGATGAAAGTAAAGCAGTTGGTGTCGTGTTGCAAGTACAAAGACTATGGATGTTCACCTTTCTCTGAACCATTAAAATAATTCCACCATGGAATATCATATTTGTTCCACACTAATAGAGTACATTCACACTCACTCAAACTTGGTCAGATAGTTGGTTTCCATTTAATGTTTATTATGTATGTTCGTTTCAGTTGCAGCTTTTTAGATGTTAGGTCAAAAAGTTCATCATTTTGGTCACTCGGCTTCATATATTAATGCAAATGTCGTTACACACAGTCGGTAGTCAGCTTACACGCAGATGATGTGTAAGTGGCTTTCTCTATAAAATGTATAATTATTTTTGTGCATTACAAATTTTTATAAATGTGATGTGTTATATATAGATATTTTATATAAGACTTGAAGAATTTTTGGCGACTAAAAGTGTTAAAATGTGCTTGGGTCATCAGCTGCATAAATTTTGATTAATAAAAGTCCAAGATCAGGTAACAGCTGTAAGAGCTGTTAGTAGAAAATCCCTTGGGGCCTTGCCTTCATGAAGTCATAGTGCTTGGAATGAAGTATAAATATCGGACACTTGTAATTTGAATTGTTGTGACAGATTTTATCAGTGCATAGCTTTCCAATTTCTTGCATATATGGGAACCCCTATCACGTGTTTCTTTCTTCAGAGGAGCAAAATATTTGCTTGTCAACCCCAATTTAAAATTTGTTGTGCTCGTCTCTGTTGCTCATGTTTCTTTCAGTGGATGTGTTTTGTATTGTGTCCCAAAATGACTTCAGAGAATGAAATAATGCCATGTTACTGGAGAGGCAGAACCCTCTAAATAGAAATTTCTCAGTGATATAATATTTGTATAAGGTGGGGCTTGTGTGACAGGAGTTCACCTGCTCCCTTACATGTTAAATTCATTATTCCCACTGATACATTTGTTCTGGATATGAGAAATTATAATTAATTGTCACTACTCAGTTTCACCACACCCAATGTAACAAAATGTTAGTTGTTATGTTTAAGTGTCCTCTGTTTAATTGTATTTTTAAAGTAACATATTACAGTAACTTGCATGAGGAGCAGAAAGAATAGAAGTTGCCAGTGACAGTTAAGGAGAATATTCTTTTGCAGACTGAATCATGGTGATGGTGTTAATATTGTCAGAGAGTATGGCTTCAGTTGTAATTGCAAATACTCAGATGCCAGTGAAGCCCACAGCTGGATATTTGTATGTAAAGTAAGAGTTTTGGCTTCCTGCAGAACAAGGTCTGAGCTCGGTGCTGTGACAACCATTACATGATCTTAATATATGACATTATACACAAGTATACAAATGTTTTCAATACCCTTACCAAATTCCCTTGTCCATTCGCAAGTTTCACCGTGTTCAGGGATAACTGGCAGCCTCATAAGTAGGGCTCGGATTTCTATGGCCTAAAAACTTTGAAAATTGCATGCCTTTATGCCCTAAAAATGGCAAAATATGACAGAATGGCTGACAAAAAATAAGTAAATATTTAACAAAAATTCCTAAGAATGGCAATTTATTAAGAAGTTTACAAAGTTATTTTGTTCTGAATAAATATCTTTAAGCTCTGAAGCATTGATCACAGCACATTGCTGACCCCATTAAGAAAAGCTGAATGGCGTTTCATTGAAAAGTGTACAAAGTTATTTTTTCTGAATAAATGTCTTTAAGCCGTGAACACAACACAACACAATGCTGACCCTGTAAAGAGAAAACACGAACGAAAGTATTGTTTATTTTAGCGTGAAAAGTAAATTGAAGTGTGCTAATTGTTGCAGGTAAATAATTTGTACGGTACCTTAATCTTCCTTTTCAGTAGAGTTGCACTGAATGACATTCTCTCGTTCTACCTTATTTGGCCACAGCAAATTCATCGCATTGTCGAAAACAACAGCAATGGAAGAATTATTCACTTTTTCCAACACCTCACATGCCAATAGGAATATATCTCGAGGCTGGTCATCTTTCAGTATATCAACAACAACATTCACTACAAATCTACCACTTACGTCGGTAGTTTCGTCGATACCCACCCATATTTTATTATTCCCGACACAGTTTCTTATTTTATTGATGGTAACATCGTAGCAGGAAGTGAGATAGTTCTTTCTTAATGTGGATTCGGTCGGAATGGGATGAGTTGTATATTTTCCGAGGAAGTTTCGGAAACTAGATGTATCTACTTTATGTAATGGAATATTTCATGAAACCATCATAGTACAAAGAACCTTTGAAAACTCGGAGGCATTTCATGATTTCGGTGAACTGAAGAATGTCTTTTCAATGAAAAATCGCTGTCTACTTTCCGTGGTAATTTCACTGTTTACACAGCTTCTATGTTTAGCTGTATTGCAGTGTTGTTGCACCATAAAACGTTTGTCTGCCGTAACTTTCACTTCACACATTTTGCAAAATAAAATTTCTCCGTCAGTACTAAAATATTTGTCACCAAACTCTTTAATAAAACCACGCAACCTCACGCTATTAGAGCACTTGACTTTAGGCATCTTGAAACTATACCGAACAACTGAAGTTATGAATACAGTACTGTATTGGACGGGTTTCGGGGAGAGGGTAGAAATTTACCGCTTTGTGGATGGAAAAAATTTTCACCAATATATAAGAAACAAACTGTACTTCAGGTATCACTGCAGTGGAGGGGAAAAAGGGACATAGACAGACAGACAGACAGAGGCAGAGGTGGCAATTTCTCTTTTCAAAGTGGTTGATTCTACGCCAGGTCAAGAACCGTCACCCTTCACACTGCACAGTATTCCTTCACATCCCGTTACACAAGGCCAAATATTTCTAAGAAATGAAGTTCCAAATAACATCGTTGCCAATACTTGCAAATATATTTCTGAGCAATAAGTGAAACTCGCCTAAAATATGACCAAAAATTAGATTTTATATCACTTCGGGCCCAAATATGACCTAGAGCTAAAATATGGTTCAAATATGCATTTATATGACCAATANCGTATTTTCATGTTCACAAGAGTCAGAAATGCGTTTATATTTAAGTATACATGTGAAAAGATGCCAGGATAAAAGTATGACATGTCATAGAAATCCGAGCCCTACTCATAAGCTTCAACTGTGAACATTCTTCTATGTCCACATACACAGCAGCCATTGCAATCTCTGACAGAGGACAAATATGAAACTCGGTACTGCTTATTGCCATTGTTCTATTTGCTTCAGGAGAAAATTCAAAATCTGAGGGACGTTCATAAAAAAACAAAGAATTTATTACCAGATCTCTGAACTCAAGATGCAGATTCCCTGCTGTTCTGAGTATATTTTGGCCCCCTAATTAAATATCTGCAGATGGTCAGCACACCAACATGTGTGGCTGTGAAAGGAAGTGGCTCTGTCAGCCATGACTCAGGAGAGAAGTATTGTCGTTGAATTTGGTGAACCAACGGAACTAGTTAGCTTAATGAAAATATGTTCAGAGAAAACCTATGCAAAAGTCTTTAAGCGTGAAAATATGTTTGATGCATTTCTCGCTTCTTATCACCATTGTGATATGCCGTTAGAATATGTCATTGGGAAGACCCAAGGTAACCAAGGAAGATAGGAATTGAATGGGGTACATCAAGTTGCAGTTTATGCAAATGATATTAATTAATTAGGTAGAAACATAAATATACAGAGAAACACAGAAGATGATGCAGAGAAAATTAAGAGCGTGTATGTCTTCTCACTGGAATGCGGGAGAAATTAATACTACAGAGTAAAATAATGCAGTCTTTGAAAATATGGCAGAATTCAGATGTTCGGGAACAACACCGAGAAAAATAAAGTACTATCACGATGAAATGAAGAGGAGGAAAATTTGCTAAATGTCAGCACAAAATCCGCAGTCTTCCCATACCCTATCCGAAACATGAAGTTACAATGTAGTGGTGTGAAACTTGCCCTCTCGTTCTGAGGGGAGAACACAGACTGAGGCTGTCTGAGGACGGGGCGCTGAGGGGACCATATTTGTACCTAGGCGAAAGGTAGCCAGTGATGAGCGTTGTAATGTATTCTTCGTCACATACAATTAGGTGATCATAAAAAAAGAGGACGAGATGGTCAGTGCGTGTAGCACTAACGGGAGATGTGGTAAAGTAACCAAAATTTTTGGTGGGAAACCAAGGGAAAGAGACCAGATGGGAAGGCAAAGCATAGATGGAAGGATAATGCTATGGAAATGTAATTGTGTTAAACTAGGGTATGATGACTTGGAATAGGTTCAAGTGACTCAGGATACGTCCAATGGTGGAGTCTTGTGAACAAGGTAATAAACTTTTGTAATCTGAAAAAGGTGGGGAATTTCTTGATCAGTTCAATGAGGAGTGTCCTTGGAAGGACCCCGCACTTTCAGTTTATTGATCTTGAACTATTTCTTCCTGGAACACTGAATGGAGACTTTTCTAGGAGGTCGCCCCATTTAAGTTAATGGGACACCGACAATATTAATAGGGGTTCCCATTCAAGAGAAAGTCATCTCTTATGTTAAATCGCTACTGGAACTCACAATGAAGTATGGACGAAGGATGGGAGGTTTGTTGCAGATGTGGTCACTGAATGTCATTCCCTTTCCAGTGCTGCGTTGCTAACTGAATGAAGTTGTTTCTAAAAGCACATTCGTAAAGTTCGGGGGCAGTGTGACAAAGTACTGACGTCCAGAAAACTTTCTTTCAGGCAGCGTTGCGGCGCGCCTGCGCAGATTGTGCTGTCGGTATACACGAAGTAACCACAGCACCGCCGAGCGGATTGTCAGAGAATTGGTCGACAAATTTTAATTGCTGTGAAATCGGGAAAAAGTAACGGACACACAGACAGGACGACCTCGTGTCTTTGCTTCTCTCTTGTGCTTCACACACGAAAAAGTCCGGTCTCTGCGAGTGTTTCGAACTTACAGAAACGAAGCGCCCCATTTTTGTTCAGTTCACTTTTTTTTTCCGCAGATGTTGCGGGGTTTCGAGGCTGCTGTTCGGAAGGGACGTCATACATGCATTCCCCAAGCAAACGCCGTAGTCTCCCAACCAAAGTCTCGTTCTCTGTTATGTGAATGGAACTTCCTTCCACGTGAATTTGTATGTCTACGTGTGTATAAATATATATTAAATGAAAATATAATTGATTGTACTTCCGAAGTCTTCTAAAACTGTTACAATATACCGGTCTACACAAAAGTAAGTTTCTCTTCATCAGATCAGAACTAACAAAAAGAAAAAACTATCAGCCTTGATTGATCCTGTAATGTATTACAATTAGATTTTGAAGCATACATTTCATCCTAGTTTAGTGTAAGCAATAGCAGTGAGCAGTGGAGACTTTACTGCTCCTTACTCATTCTGTATATAGTTTTAACTTCTCGCCAATTCGAATATCACCTACCAGTGATTACTCGCATGTAAATTTAATGCTTGCATATTATGTGGGAAGAGTTCGTCATAGTCTGGACTTTGTCTAAGGTAAGGCACCTCTGAGATCACTGAATATCTCTTTCCTTTGTGGCATTAGCTACAGTCTGTATCATAAATAATGGAACGCGGCTTGACATTTGGAGTTCCTTGTGCCCAAGTTTACCCTGTGTGTGTGTGTTATATTTTTTGTCGGTTTTCTTTGATTTGAGTTTAAGTCGGATCGTAAAATGTGATTGAATAACAGCAAAAATTAATGAATGAATTATTTCTTATTGCTAGTGGGGTGGGACTAAGTCCCTTGTACTGTGGCCACTTCTGGCCTATTGTATCAGCCCCAGATGATAGGTGAGGGTGACTGTGGAGCAATCGGTGGAATGAAGATTGGCAGGGGAACCCGAAGTACTCGGAGAAACCCTGCCCCAGAGCCACTTTGGCCACCACAAATCCCACTCGACCAGACCCGGGATCGAACCCGGGTCGCCGCGGTGCCAGCGACTAATCGCTTGAACTATGGCGCGGCCGCTGACTGAATTAAGTAATTATTGAAGCAGTCCACCACGAAGACGATTGGAGCCCTGCTTGCCCCTGATTGCAGGCCGTACCCCTTACACTGGGCTACACTCGCAACTTCAGTGTACTGGTCTTACACAGACGTTCCGAGCTCGCAGAACTGCGGGATCTTTAAAGTGAAAAGAAATTAATTTGAAGAAGGTACGGAAACAATACAATATTGCAAACAGTCCGTGCATCAGCTCTGCGGAGTTAGTACGCAGATGTGTGCCAGTAGTTCAGTCGAGATCTCTACGTAACATAATAAACCCATTCTAATGTCTCTGTAAAAATACGCTTATAAGTAAATGCAGTTTGTA